CTGCATGAAACTGGACCTACCTGAGTTATAGGGAAAGCTCTATAGGTTTACTTGAGTGGGAGTTGAAGTTCACAGAACTACAAGAGGGGAGCATTTCCTGTTCTGGGTCTTTTGAAACTGCTGTTTTTTCCCCATGGATATGCCGGGGGAGGGCCAGGCTCAGTTTGTCTCCCCCTTTAGGTGTCTTGCGGGTCTTACTTTATGCTCTGAGAAAGAACCCTGTGAATACAGGCTATTGTGAGAACTACCAGAGGCCAGTTGCAGCTTCTCCTTCTCCTTGATGCTGTTATTAATAATACAGTAGTCCCCCCTTATTCGAGGGGATATGTTTCAACACCCCCATTAGATGCCTGAAACCACAGATAGTACTGAACCCTATATATACTATGTTTTTTCCTATACATACGTTTGTGAGGCACGAGTACAAAACTAGCATGAGTTTCTTTTTCTTTCTTCACAATTTTACAGATGAAAGATTCCTTCTTTCCATAGATCTTAGCAACCTCAGCATATGATTTTTTTTCTTTCTTCATTAAGTCGAGAACTTCCACCTTTTCACTTAAAGGAAGCACTTCACGGCTCCTCTTTGGCATGTCCAAATTGCCAGCATCACTGCTCTTGTGCTTTGGGGCCATCAACTAGTAAAATAAGGGTGACTTGAGCGCAAGCTCTGCGATACCACAACAGTTGATATGATAACTGAGACAGCTACTAAATGACTCATGGTCAGGTAGCATATCCAGCGTGGACAAAGGGGTGATTCACTTACTGGGTGTAACAAACTAGGACATTGTGGGATTTCATCACACTACCCAGAATGGGATGCAATTTAAAATTTATACATTGCTTATTTCTGTAATATTCCATTTAATATTTTTGGATTGTGGTTGACTGCAGGTAACTAAAACCATAGAAAGTGAAACCACAGATAAAGAAGACTACTGTATTGGCATCTGATATCTGTGAACTCCTTGAGACGGAGATGACATATTTGTTTATATAATAGGTACACACAGATTTCCATGAAATGTTTAGTAATTTGGCTAATAATGGACCTTCTGACACAAATCCCTTTACTTAATCTTTACAACCATCCTGTACAGTTGGTATCATTAGTGCCTTTCAGATATTACTGATGAGGAAACTGAACTTTAGAGAAGTAATAATTTGACCAAAGTTGCTTACCCAGTAAGTATTGAACTGGCACAGAAATCCAGATCTTCTGACTCCAGAGCCCAAGCTGTGTCCACTAATCTCCACTGCCCATTGACTAAATTGACCATCTTGAACATTTGGCTTCCTGGGTCCAGTTTTAGTTAAAGCACGTGTGGGTTCTTGGATGGATCTCCCCCGATCCACCTAAAAGACTGTTCAAAATAAGTCTTACTTATTTAAAAATCCTTCAGAGCTAAACTTCACATAGACCTTCCCTAGCTAAAACCACTCGTCTTCATCCTAGGCCAGTCATCAGGAGCATTAGCCCCCAAAGCTGATTCTAGTGAGTGGCATTGACCCCTGCCCGTGAATATTTGTCAGGGCTTGGGTCTTAATCTGCACTGACACCCATGAAGCGGAAGAAAAAAAATAGAAAAAAATAATATCCAATTACTTCCCTGTTTTTAGTGTTTATGCTGCTATCTCCTAGGAGAAATATAATCAGAGGACAAAGGGCATCTTTGAAATGAAAGCCAGCTAAGAGGCTCTGGGTTTCAAGTAATCATCTCTCCTCCTGTCGCTCATACTGTGTTTGCAGCGAGGGCTTGTAATGTCTGTTAAGTGAATTGTGGGGAGCACTTTGGAGCTCTTAATTATTCCTTTGTATCTTCCGTATATCGCATATATCAAAAAGTGCCAGTGGTTAAGTTATTAAATCTTCAGTTCACCCTCAAGGTCCAGAAGGTGGAGTTGGCAATATTAGTGGCTTTAAATGAAAGATTGTCTTTCTGACACAGCTTCCTTTTCCATCTTGCCAAAGATAGAATATGATTTTTGCAAAATGAGTCGATGAGTAAATGAATAAGAAAATCAATTAATGAATGTATGAACAATCAGATGAATGCATATATGGATATGAAAATCTGTCTACATTCAGAGGGAAATCCAAATTCCTATGATTTAAGGGTGCTATGTGGACCACTTTTGGAATCAGATTGAATACACTGAGACTAGGGACAAATTTACTTTCTCTCCTTGAGCCTTCATATACCTATATATCTATATCTATATCTATATCTATATCTATATCTATATCTGTATCTTTATCTATATCTAGATTGATGTCTACCATGGTAGATTCTTATGAGTGCTGGACATAATGTATGTAAAATTTCCTAGTGTGAATGTAACATCTATAATTTAGATTAGACTGCATTTTCCTTTTCTTCTTCTAAGCACCATGGACATTTCAAAACTGTCTTTGTTTCTCCCACTACAGTACTGCATTATTGAACAATTAATTTTCTTTGGTTATTTTATCAGTTTTTGTCTACATTGGCATCAACATTTTTAGAGTTTTGGGTTAACTATTTGTGTAACATTATTTTTACCAATGTGAATCATGTTCTATTTTTGCTATCAAAGTCAAAATCCAATAACCTTCATTCTCATTTGTTTTTTAGACTTTATAGAAAATGTAATTCTGCCTCAATTAAACATTGGAGACATGTGGATTTGACATGTGGGTTTATCAGTGGGCTGGTTTTAGGAAACAGTCTTAAGATGAATCAGAATATATGAGTGGAGTTTAATTTTATACTGCAAGAAATATTTCCTTTTTTAGAGTTGGAAAATACTATAGAGATAGTTGAAACCAAACTCTTTTTCTCTTCCTCTTCCTTCTAATATAGTAAAATTGAAGTGCAGGGCAATGAAGTTACTTATTCCAGATCATATACAGAGTTAGCATAGAGAAAATATTAAAACTGGGCGCCCTGGTTGCCAGTTCTTTTTCAGTTAAATCATGCTGACAGCCATGATCCTGTTTCTTAGTAGTACCAATTAATAACAGTGGTTACTTTCAGTATATGTGCTCATCATTATTGTCTAATAGATATGCCTTGAGTCATTTGATTACTTCCTAGACCTCAGTTTCCTCATTTGTAAAACTAAGGGCGAGGGAGGAAGGAAACCACTTGATCTCTGTGCTAGGTTCTTTTCCAGTTCTGAGAATTTATGAAGAGTAATGATGTTATTATGTGGGCAAGATTCTCAGATGACAAAAGCTTTTCAATTCTTCCTATTTCCTCTTTTGCTTTATTTGTGAGCATGTTCAGAATTAAATTCTATGTCCAATTGGAGTAAATGTTTTAGTCTAGATTATTATAACAGAATGTCTGATACATATGTGAGAGATCAAGATTTGGCCACCCTGAAATCTATCTCTTTACCTTGGTTGTTTTCTCTAGGGACATTTGACCTCCCCCACTAACTGCCTAAAGAATTTGACATGGTGGCTCCTTCCAGGAACAGATCTATCATGATGGCTGTAAAGATAACTGTAGGGTAAATGTTACAATAGGAAAGGCACCAACAAGCCCCTTTTATCAGAAGTTCTGTCTCTCTGGCCACATTCTTTGGATGGCCCTGCGAGGAGTTGCCAGACAATCATTTACATTTATAAGGGAAATCTCCATTTGTAAAGGTATCTCCCTCTCTGTTTGGAGAAGAGAGGGGGATGAGCTCATTTCTAGTGACTTATCAATGTGGAAGGTGTGGCCTTGGGGCTGCATAATAAACCTTACTCTTGTTTACTGTGCTTTAGTGGTAATCTCCTGTAACTGACTCCCCCAACCCCCAAAATCCTCCTTTGTCATTGGCTGAACATGGTATTTAAGACGAGAATTTCTGCTATTGTGTTGAGAAACGCAGTGTCCCTGCTTTCTCCCATATATACATGTTATTAAACTTGGTATTATTTTCTCCTGCTAACCTGTCTTGATAATTATTTGGCCAGCCAGAAGAACCTTAAGGGAAAGGGCAGAGGGAGATTCTCCCTCTTCCCCTGACACATACATCCTAGATAGTGCTTTGCAACTTTGTATTTTTGGTTACTATTCCATGCTAACAGTCCTGCTGGTATTGCTTTTTTTTTCCACTTATGATACAACTGAGCCCCAGAAAAATGAAGTAACTTGTCCAAGCTTCTTGTTGTCAGAAATAGGTTTCAATACAGATGTCTCAAGCTCTAAAACTCAAATTCCTCTCCTTTCTCCACACCTTCCATTCTTACCTGTAGTAGGTAAAACATGTTTTCCCAACCTGATTTAAAGGTCTTTGTCTCTCTGTGTTCTTTTATTGTAAACCTCTTAAAATCCTTTTTGCAAATAGAGGTAGCATGGAAAATAAATACTAAAAAACTGCAATTAAGTGCCTTAATGCACAGTGTGCATTACACTATGTCATCCTTGTTAATGATATATATTTTACAGATACTGTCTGTCTATAGGTCTTGTTTTCAACGTGGTACTTATGGTTCTCTGAGACAATTATTTAGGCTGGTGTTTCTCTTGTGAGGGAGTGTGTGTCAATAGCTGGAAGTATGGGTTTTGGAGTCAGACATCCTGGATTCCAGTTCTTAGTCATTTACTATGTAACCTTGGGTAAGCAGCCTAATTTTCCTCATTCACTTTTCCCTCATTTCTGACATGGCAGTATTGACTCCATTCTGATTTAGGTAATGTCAATTTAAAATGAGACAATGGGCATTAAATGCTTAGCATAAAGCCTGTGAAGTGAAGGCTCCACACATTTAGCTCTTAAGATTGTTAACTCTTCATAGTAACTGTGGGTGGAGCTTTATGAGGAACAAAAATTCCCTGGTCAAATTCTTTGCATGAGTAGAGTGTTCAGGTGGCAATTAATGGTTGCATGTTGAGCCACCCAACACACAATTTGTTTGATCTTATTTTCCCTTTTTTTCAGCTTTATTGAGATATGTAAGTATGATCCTCTTTCGACCTTCCTTCTAACATCTCCTTCTTTGGGTTGTGTTGTCTGAGCAGAGGACAAGGTCTGGACATCAGTGCAGCACAACAACACAGAGCTGACTCGTGTGCGGGGCACCGACCCTGAGAAGCCCTACACCATGACCTTGGACTATGGTAGCAGCCTGGAGCAGCTGGAGGCTGTGATTGATGGCTCAGAGCACTGTGAGCAGGAGGTGGCCTACCACTGCAGGAGGTCCCGCCTGCTCAACACGCCAGGTAAGGCTCACCCCTGCCCCTGCCCCTCTGCATTGGCCACACAGGGTGACCACAGTGTGACGAATGGGCCCTGCAAACCCAGAATATTGAGGAGAGGGGTATTTGCCAGCAAGGGGGCTAAAGTTACAGTGCTCAATGTGCAGTGGAGAGAAACGCACCCAGAAGAGCACTTGTGACGTACGTGTTCTGGCTCTGATACCCAGGGTCTGACCTATAGAGAGTCTGGGGCCTTTCAAGATTTTCTCCTCATATTCAAAAAGGGAATGATGGCAACACCCATCCTGCAACAGTTGTGAGAATGAGAAGTTTCTTGAGAGCAATGGCACTTGTGGGAGCATTTGAGCTAGACAAAGAAGTGCAGAGGCAGGAAATGATGTTTCTGGCAGAGGGAATAGCATATGAGAAAGCACCAAGGATCTTGGCAGATTCACCAAAGAGCATTGAGTCATGTCCAAGGTGAAAGGTGCATAAGCAGGCATTGTTAGACAGGGAGGCCAGCAGGGCAGGCAGGCACGGTCCTGTGTGTTTGCAGCACCAATGTCACCTGAAAAGTGCAGGCCTTAGTGGAGATGACTCTTTTTTTAAAATAAAGTTTACTTTTAGAAAAAAATTGGGTTAATCCCATTTATTTACTTTTCCTATGGTTATTTTTTAGAGTGAATTGTCGATTTTGTTATTAACATGCTTGCAAAAAAATACTTCTAAGACTGCTTACCAAAACCCAAAAAGGATTTTACAAAATGTCAGGAAGGCTTTGTCAACGTTTGTGCGTGCCTTGGGAGTCAGTTGTTTTTGTGAATATCAGTTCGTCATTTGTTTCACGGCAGGAAAAAAAGCCTGAGTACCACAGGGATGTGGAATATCCAAGAAAGGGTGTCAGAATCTCTAGCCTTAGGAAACTTACAATCCAATGCTTGGAAATTAGGAATTTTGAGAGGCTTGAGAGTGTTAGACAAGGAAATGTCAACAAAAGAGAAGTGATTGAAGCCTAGCTAAATATAACACACCGCCTCACTGATCTAGAATCTTGAGGGAAGACATTGTTCCACGTAAGTGAATTTTCCAGATAACTGTCACTTATCCCTTTAAGCACCAAAAATCTTTTCAAAAACTTTTTAACTATTTGAAATGAAAATCTTTCTCGAATGGATTACATGCTTCCTTGCCTTCTTAAACAGAGAATTCTGAACATAATATGTAACCTTTTCTTGATAACTCAGGATCGTCATTGTGAAAATCAGTTATTGTACTCTCCCTGGAGTCAGCCATGCTCGCTGGGCTGATTAGATGGGAGGCACGGCTGGTGTCCCTTTTTCCGGCATCCTCAGGAGGTGCTGCCGTGAGAGATCCAGGGTTTATATTTGTTCCTGCTTCTTTCCCTTGGCTGTCAAGCCTGCACGTGTCGCTCTCAGCACTGTTCACGGAGTGCCTGTCTCTGAAAACCATCCTGCCCTCTTTTCATTGTGTTGCTTCTAGTTTTCTAAGGATTGGGTTCGGTGGAATTTTAGGAAAAATGGGAGTATGCTCATTCTGACTATGGGATTTTCTTTAGTGTTGGCATTCTGTGATATCCATTTGGCTACACCATTGCCTTTGTGCATGCTATTATTTCAAACTCAACTGTCTTTAATTCCCTGAGCATATTCAAGTGGGAAGGGCATGGATTTGGGGACAGACCATATTGAGAGTGACGTCTTGACTCTGCCTCTTACTAGTCATGTGACCTTGTGCAAGGTGCTAAATTTCTACAGCCCGAAAAATTTTACCATCTGAAAAATAGAGATGAAAATCTTGAATTAAAGCTCATGTGAGGACTGAAGGAAACTTGTAGTCTGCACTGCTCCTTGTACCAGGCCTGGTATGTAATAGGCCTGGTACAACAAACGCTAGTGTCGTGTTTCTTTCCTTGCTCACAGGCTCCATCCCAGTAGGCAAGGTCTAAAATTTGTACTGTAATGGAAGCTCAAAGGAGCATTTTATTTTATTTCAACAGTGTAAACAGAATAATTATAAAGCATGCGTGCAGATAATCTCACCACCCAGAAAAGACCAATGTTGCATTTAGGTGTGTATCCTTCCAGATGTTTTCCCACGTGATATTTACAGAAGCACAGTGAGAACATACTATCTGTATGTTGGGGTTTGAGGATACTCATTAATCCTCTTTTCCCCTGTGAGTTCTGAGTCAAATGCAGTAGATGAAGGAGGACAATGGGTGTGTACGTACAGTATCTACTTTCTTCTTGTGAGCTGGGTTGGAGAACGCAGCTCAGACCAGAGACCAAGGGGACCTGCTTGCCCCTCAGCCTCCACTTGCAGACCAGGCTCTGCTAGTGGGTGAGGTGGGACTGCAGACAGAAGCCCCATAGAGATGTGGCCCCAGCCTCACACTCCTCAGTGTGGGGACAGAGCCCCTGGGCTCAGGAGTGCTCACCTCATGGAAGCGAGGTGGGTGGAGACATGAGTGTGCACCATTGTAGGCACATGAATCTGAGAGCCCATGCCCAGGGCACTGTCTTAATAGGGGCTCTTATAACAAAGTAACAGACTGGCTGGCTTATGAAAGATGGAAATTTATTTCTCACAGTTTTGGAGAAGTCCATGACCAGGGTGCCAGCATGGCCAGATTCTGGTCAGGGCTTCTTCTGGGTCACAGACAACTCACTTTTCCTTGTATCCTTACATGGCAGAAAGAGAGTGAGAGAACCCTCACTAATCCCATTCATGAGGGCTCCACCCTCATGACCTAATCACCTCCCAAAGGCCCCACCTCCTAATACCTCTACATTGGGGGTTAGGATTTCAACATATGAATTTTGGAGGAACACAAGCAGTCAGTTCATAACAAGCACACATCTGCAGGGATGTTTTCCTAATCTCCCTAATTATTGAGCCAACCCCTTTCCCCCAGAGAAGGCCAGGGAGAGTAGGGGAGAGGGATGGAGACCACGTCCTTATCTACCTGCCTGTCTGGAAGAACTGTGCAAGTTTCTCTCTTATCTGCTGAAGCCGGGCCCACCTGAGATACTGTTTTACTACCTGTATTTGTCACACACACACACAATGTACAAATATCTTGCCGTATCAATAAATATGACTTTATACCATAATGTTTATTAACAACAGAGTCTTCCATTATGCAAATGTACCACAGTGGATATACAAAATTAACAAATCTCCTATTTAGGACATTTAGATTGTTCCCATATTTTCACTATTACAAATGCTGCAGGAACATTTGGGCACATAGATCTTTGTGAACAAAACTGTTTATATCCCTAGGATAAATTCCTTGAGGTGCCATTTCCAGGGCAAAGAGTGTGCATATTTTTAAGGTTTTTGCCATATTGACTCCTGCAATGTATCAAGGATTTACCAATTTATACTCCCAGCAACACTGTGGTATTGCGTTCCATCATTTCCCAGCAATTGGTACTACTATCTTATTTCAACTTTGGCAATCAGATAAATACAAAGAGGAGTCAAAAACAATTATACGTATTTTTTGTCAATTAAAAAAAATGTATAGGCTGATTCTCATAGCTTATTGGAGGGAGATACTACTGGTAACTAGAGTTAGTAGAAGCTATAAAATATTGTAAATTGTGGCTACAATGGACTCAAGTCAATAAGAAGAGAATGTGGAGGATACCTTCTTGCTATATGATCTCCTCAGTACTATATACAATAGGGAAGAAATAAAAGAAGGCAAGATGAGAGACAAATAAATAACTGTTCAAACGGCCACCAATGACTAATATTTCCTATGTGAGGACACGTGTGGGGTGCTGTACAAGCCTTATCTCTAATCCAAACAACAGATCTGCACAGTCAGGGTTACTATCCCCATCTGGCTTTTCAGGAAACAGAACCTGAGAGAGAGTAAGATGCTTGACTAATGCCACACAGCTGGGCAGGGACAGATCTAGTGTCTGCACCTAGTGTCGCCTGAAGTCAAAGCGAGGATGCTGTTTCTAATACACCGTGCAAACCCCCAAGAGCCAAAACTTACAAGGAAATGGAATAGTCAGGGAAAACGTGATTTTATATAATTTTCCTTATTTTGTAAGAAAATGTAGGTGAAGAGAGAGAAGAGCAGCCACAGTCACCTCTGCTAATACCATGTGGTTGTCAGGGTGGCTTGAATTGGGCAAATTCCCAGGCAGCTTCAAAGAGTTTGCAGCGTCCTAGCCTAGTGCAGCAGCTGCCGTGGCTCACGCACTCCTTCACAGGCCCATCCTGTGGATGCGCACATAGGCGTCCCCAGAGCCTCCTTCTGTCTGCTCCTGGCTCTGGCGTTGGTGCCATTTATTTAGCAGCAGCAGAGGGAGGTAGAGAGGGAAGACAGGCAGGATAAGTTGAGGCCTGGATTACCACTGTGCCTTTTTCATTCAGTTAGTGACTGGACCGTGACACTGTCATTTTCTGACAGTTTCCTCTGATATTCTTCCCCAGAGCTGCTGGTAAGTACCAGCCAAGGGAATGTGTCATCTGTCTCTTTAACTGAAAGTTTATACTAGAAACTCGTGGAAGGATGGGAATTCTAGCCATGGGGTCCATGGGAAAGGTGTTTTTGCTATTCCCATGCAACTTTGTAGTTCTTTTCACTGTGCTTGCTGTTTCCTGCCCTGAGCTTTATGCAGGGCCTGAGGCCCTGTACCACAGAGCAGCTTCCAAGACAGGAATCATCAGCCCACCAATGCTCAGGGCAACTTGACATTGGGGAGGAGGTGGCTACTGTGTCCCCAGGGATAAGGGCTATCCTGGTTGAGCCCAGGCCTTTTCTCACTGTCAGCACCTCCATAGGAATTTTGCCTGAGGCTAGGCTCCTGAAGGGAACATGTGATGAGCATATGAAATGAAACAGAACCCAGTTTAGGAAACACTCACACAGAGAACATAAAAGGGAATATTGAGGCCACAGTCTGGAAGATGCTTTAGAATCACGTGGCATGGGGGCTGGCCCCGTGGCTTAGAGGTTAAGTGCACGCGTTCTGCTG